TTTTTTTTTCTTTTAGGCATGATTCTAATCCTCTAATTCCTTCTAACTCATCAGCATGTGACCCAAGAATATTCATACTTAATTCATGTAGGATACTAATTAATTTGACAAAGAATAAGCTAAGTCAAGGCAGCAGCAAGTAACAGGAAGGTATATCTGAATTTCTCATTTCAGTTTTATTATTGTCTAGCAGGGAGGCCTTGGCTAAGTTCTTTCCACAGTCTCCACCAAAAATGCAGCAGCTCTCTCAATTCTCCGATCCCCCACCCTCGAGTGCCTCACAAATTCATAAAAGAGCCACTGTCATTCTCGCTCTGGATTCCCAGAAGATCCTCTCTCCTAATAGTCTCAGTCCCTTCTAATTCACTCTCCGTGTTCTAACTCATCATTTACTATAAAAATTTAGTGCAGTGATCTTTAAATTTTACTAATTAAGCCCCATCACCTGTTCTATTTAAATCCCTTCAATGGCTTCCCATATCTTTTAAGATAAAGATTAATATCCTTACCTGTGTGCAATGTTCTTATTACAGTGGCAAAAGCTGATCCCTTGAGACCAGATTCAAGAAATAATCCAGAGATGAAACTGGCAGGCTTTTATGGATTGGATACAAGAAAGCGAGGGAAAGGGAAGTGTCTTGACTACTCCCAGAGTTCTGACTTGAACAACTGTGGTGTTAGAAGTCTGTTTACCAACACCACGGAGACCCAAATTTAAGGGAGAACGGTGATTGAATCATGCACTCAGTACCTGACCTTTGTAACACATTTGCAATTACTCTTATTCATTTACTGAATGTTTCCTCATGCAGTCAAAATATTATCCAGCCAAGAAAATGAACCAACTCCTGATGCACACAATACTGATGAATCTCAGAAGCATTATACGAAATCATGTACTCTCAATGGAGTGAGAGCATCCCCAAAGGGGCAAAAAATTTGTTCTTCAGGAATGAAGATGCACCGATGTATATACATTATATAAACAGAAATACAGATATATCTTCAGTTTTAAAATTTCATAAAGGGGAGAGAGACAATTAGGGGAAAGGTATCTAAAAAGGCTCTTTAGGAGAACAGTAATAAAAAAAAAGTTGAGAAACACTACTAAATAAAATACGCTGGCCACAAAGACTACATTATACGATTCCTTTTTCTAGAAAAAGCAAAACTAATGCCCCAAAAGGCAAAAAATCAGTGTAGCCCAGGGCCCAGGTTGTGGGGGGAAAAATTGTTTTCAAAGGGGCAGGTGGGAACTTATGAGGTGATGCAAATGTTCCATATCATGTTGGTTACCACTGTAGTTATTTATCAAAGCTCTTCAAATCGTAGACATAAAATTGCTGAATTTTATTGCACATAGCTTATACCTCAATAAAACATTTTAAAAAAATAATAATAACCCAACCCCATAGAGCTTCTGCCCTTGTGGGCATGGATTACAATT